ATTCATTTTGCTAGTAAATGACTAATGTTCTCCAAGATTGAGGTATTTGTATTACATTTTTTCATGATGAATATTTTATTTTTTAAATTACCCTGTGTCTGCTGCAGCATTGGCTGTATGCTATCACTCCTCCCCCCTCCGTCTCCCCTTTTCTCTAAAGATCCTTTTCCTCATGTTCAAGGAAAACCAATGGAGATCTAAAAAATGAACTAATTGAGCTTGAATTGCTTTTGGCTAGTGTCTGTTAAAGCTGTCTAATTTTTTAAAGATTCTCACAGAATATTTGAGCTCCTTTACCTTCCCCCACACAGTTTGTCAAGAAGAAGGAGGAGGGGAGAATGAGGAGGAAGGGGAGGAGGAGGATAAAAAGGAGGAGGAGGAAGAAGAAAAGAAGAAGAAGAAGAAGAAGAGGAGGAGGAGGAGGAGGAAGGCAGTGGAGGAGGAAGAAGAACAATAACAACAACTGTAAGAGGAGCTACAGTAAGCTGCTGCTCTGAAGGGCAGCTGTGACTCACACTGAGAACCTCTAATGAGCTCAAAGTGCAGATTCTAAGAAAAACGCTTCTTTCTCTGTTGCTTTCAGAATCTGTCCAATCGTTTCCCTTCCCTTATGAGCTCCAGGTTATAAAAAAGAAAATGTGTACTTGTCCCTTCCAAACCCAATCTAAGTAATCCTATTTTCAAAGTGGACTTGTGTTGAAGATGAAGTTTTCAATATTAAGGTCACACTTATGTGCCATGTCCTACTGTCTGGAAATTCATGCTGTATTATACACATTTAAATCTGGCCTTTTGGACTTCCTTCCTGATCTTCACCCCAGACATCAGCCCCAGACCATCTCTCCCTTCTCCAATTTGTACAGATAATGAGAATGCTTCATAATCTACACTCATTTATGAAATCTACAAGAGGCATAATCTCCATTTCGGAATGAACCTGGGCATAGATTGCCCAGCTGCAACCAAACTCCCGTGCTAACACGGGAGTGTGACTTAAACCACATTAATCTGCTTAATTTCTTTTGTGAGTCCTTCCTTGCTTCCAAAGGGACCGGGAATGTCTGGGAAGACACTCAGGAGTTGTCATGTATCCTTAAATTTTGTGAGGAAAGAGAGTCACAGTGAGCCCCCAGGTTACAAATAAATGAATGAACATACAAATAAATCAAACGAATCTGACTTGCTTTCAGAAATTAATGGAATTTCCCTCTTAGAAAACAAGAACAATAATGGGTAGGGTGGAGTGGCAAATTTGGGTGTGAAGGCAACCTAAGGAAGAATGAAGTTTGTGCTGTGTGCTGGCATAGCAAGAGATCAAAACCTGTTCTTCCTTGCTGGAGATAGGTGTGTGGACTTGATAAAAATTAAAGTTCCTCCATTTTTAAGTTAGACTCCCCTTCAAGATGGCTTTTAGCTACCCCAACCTCATAGGGTGGGACAGTGATTATTATATTCAAACCATAATTATAGAGGGGGGTACATCAGATCTGAGGATGCCACAGTGGACTTCAAGATCAGGATGAAAAGAACGCCAAGCTGTGTATTTGGCCCAACTACCCAAGAGAGCAGTTTATCAGTGGTAACTTTGAGTTTAAGGCAAAATCAGTCTATGAAAAATAAGTTACCAGCTCTTTGCAACAGTAGCTTCACATGTACTTATTTCTCTCCCATGTCCAGACGGGGTCGTCTATTGAATGAGGCTCTTTTATTTTGCATGGTGCAGGGGATTTGTGACCATGGTCCCCCCTTTTATTCCTCTCTCTATGGAAACCCAGATCATGGGGAGAAATATGCAAGGCTGAATAAAGAGAAGCCACAGAAAGGAGCGCTTGAGAGCGGCATCTGTTACACTTGGGAAGTTAGACTGACAGGAGAGGGCGAAGGAAACCTCTCCAGTAGATTAGTTAGAGCTGCAAGAAGATTTTACTATATGCAGATATTTTCTTTAAAAATCAAATCATCTTACATGCAAGAGAAGATTCTCTTACAGCTGCTAGAGGATGGGACTGCACCGGAATTAGGCAGTATCCATATTCATGGGAACTTATTTTTAAAAAGAAGCAAGAAAGGAAGGAAGGAAGGAAGGAAAGGAGGGAGAGAGGGAAGGAGGAAGGAAGGAAGGAAGGGACGGAGGGAAGAAGGAAGGAGAGAGAGAGAGGAAAGGAAAGGGAAAAAAAAGAAAAGGAAAAGAAAGAAAGATGACTACGTTGGTTTTTGCTCTGTCAAAAGCTATTCTTACTTTAAAGGACAGCAGAACAAAGGTGTGAAAAACCTGTCACTGGATGCAGATACCTCCTCCGGATAGCTGCCCCTCCCAAGGCTCCTGGCATGGTCTGAACCACTTTTGAATGCTGGCAAAATTGGTTGCCCAGATTAGAGGCCAAAGGCTAGAGGAAGGTTGATGATAAGAATTCAGGCAAGTCAGAATTGGAAAAAGACCCCCTTTTTTCTCCATGTAAAAGCATTATAAATTGATAATTCCTTTAACTCCCTGAATGGCTAGACTAAGATTAGTAACTCTTTCACCCAAACGCAGCTGCAATGGTGGGGGTGGGGAACACACCATTATAACAACATGGCAATGATCATGATCTTTTTGCCGGTATGGTTCCTTCAATGTGCTTCCCTCTGACCTCTAAACTGACGTGATATAGATTAGCAAATGGACCCTTGAACAGGAAGCCTAACAGAGCACCTGAAAACTTATTTTTGTTTGATTTTAACAAGTACTTTTTTCTTCAGGAAGCTAAAGTTCAGGCACAAATGAGATTGTATTCTTACAAAGGAAGATACACACAGTTAGTTGGCAGTAAAGAAAAGACGTTCTTCTACAGAAAGAGAAGAGAAGGGAAGGGAAGGGGGGGAAGGACGGGGCAGAGGAAGAGAAGGAAAGGAAAAAAACAATCAAACAATTTCTAGGTTAAAAGCAGATAAACTTTTATAATAGGACACCAGCAAAGGAAACCACAATTTAAATGAGAAGGAGGAGGGGGAGAAGATGGCAAATTATCATCTCTGCCAATAACTACTAAGTGTTTATCCTTTTTTTTTTTTTTTAAGAGAGAGAGAGGAAGAAATAGATCTCAACCAGACGCTTGGTTTTCCTGCTTAATAGACACAATTTACATTTACCAATATAAACTCCTATCACTCTCTGCTCTCATAAGAAATTACTAATTTCACAGGAAATACATGCTCTTTATCTATATAAAGGAATGGCAGAATAAGCTCACCTTGTTTTTATTTTTTTCTCATTTTCTTGCATTTTCTTCAGATCTGTCTTCTTAGAGAAACTAATGCCTTAATGACTTTCTGGTAGCTGCAAGCCTTCTTTTATTTCTGCTAAATATATGAAAATGTATGCAAATTTAAATCAAGCTAAACCTAGGAGCTCTTGCAATATATTTAATGGAATTTCAAACCAATAAGGGAACTCTGATGCTGTCTTCTGTAAGTGCAAATATAATTACGCAGCTAGGTTACCTTCGAAATTATGCAATGGAACGTCATTTTTTTTTTTTTTTTTACTTCAGAAATCCAGCTGGGTATCCCATGTTGCCTTTTCTCGGCTAGAGCAAATCTAAAATCTTTGCATTTTCACCCCACTCAGCTTACAAGCAATGTCTTTTCACAGGGCTGTGGAGTACAGGGGACTTGCCTTTCCCTAACTTATAAACGCTTAGGAGTACAAGTCTTTCTTGTTTCCTCTAACCAAATTGTGAAAACAGTCCTGTCCTCCCAAGCTGAAAGCAAATTCAAGCTGATGGTGATGTGTGTGTGTGTGTGTGTGTGTGTGTGTGTGTAGGGGGGGTGGGTACTTAATGCCAAACAGCCCGCCATCTCTCATCTCTCATCACTTTCTCTCTCTGAATTTTCAGGGCACACTAAATGATTCCCATTTACTTCAACTTGTCTGGGATGGGGAGGGGGAGAGCAGTACTTGTTAAAAATTTTCCTAGGGGACAGCATTCGGCGCGGTAATCATGAACGTTCTCTTATGTACCTATTGAGAGTGGGTCCGCTGAGTGTCTGGGGTGAGTGTGAGGGAGGGCTCCCCATTTCAGCTAGCATTGCCTCTGAAAGAAGTTGTGGGACCGCTGATGGGAGCCTACATGGAGCAGTAATAAAAAGCAAGTCTTCCAATTGACCAAGTGGATTGGAAGGCAAACTTCAAAATAACTGAATTTTGTCAGTATCACATTTGATTTTACTTTTATCACATTAGATTTTCCCAGAATCTTCCAGTTCTTCACGCCTTAAACAAAAATTTTCAGAAGAAGCTGGACATTTCTTTCTTAGATGCTTTCTGACCTTGGTATTGAGTTTCTCATACACGATAAAATGAAATAAAACAAGTCGAAGTAGTTCTTATTGGAATCATGGACTTCAGTCTTATAGAGTTAGGGTCCTATCAAAAAGCGGTTCCTTTGCTCAAAGTTTGTAGCAAGATTTTGGTTTGCAGTCCCCTGCACACAACTAACCCAGAACGCTAAATGAATTTGATAAAAATCCCAATCCACTGAAATCTAGATGACATTTAAACTGGTTATATTGCTTTCTTAATATATTTTTTTCTTTCTCTATTTCGGTTAATCTAAATAATACAAAACGAATTCTAAAACCATTTTGCTACTTCACCCCCTATCTACCCCCCCACCCCCCGCAAACATATACAAAAACACTTCCCTCTTATACGTCCCCCTCTACTACAAACATGCACGAAGTCGCGGGGCGGGGGGTGGGGGGGAGGGTAGGGTTAACCAAATGAGCTGCCGCCACTCAGCGCGAGGCAGCCAATGGAGCTGAAAGATTGATTTACTTCCTGCTCGGGTCTCACTGAAACTCTAGTGCTTCACCACCCTAATTTGGAAAGTTAGCCCGGCCTCCCGTGCCGCCATTGGCCGAGCCCGTGGCTGGCCAGGCCGAAACGTGTTGCAATTGGCCACAGAGCCTGCCGGTAACTCGCTCTCGCGGCTTTGGCTCCCCCGCACCGTAGATGTCAAAGGCTGAAGCTGCTCCCTTTGCCACATTATAACTAGTAGGGGATCCTCATCGACCATGGCCACAGCTGCCTCGAATCCCTACAGCATTCTCAGTTCTAGCTCCCTAGTCCATGCGGACTCTTCGGGCATGCAGCAGGGGAGTCCTTTCCGAAACCCTCAGAAACTTCTCCAAAGTGATTACTTGCAGGGAGTTCCTAGCAATGGGCATCCTCTCGGTCATCACTGGGTGACCAGTCTGGGCGATGGAGGCCCATGGTCTTCCACACTGGCCACCAACCCCCTGGACCAGCAGGACGTGAAGCCCGGGCGCGAAGACCTACAGCTGGGTGCGATCATCCATCACCGCTCACCGCACGTCGCCCACCACTCTCCGCACACTAACCATCCGAATGCCTGGGGGGCTAGCCCGGCTCCGAACCCGTCCATCACGTCCAGCGGCCAACCCCTTAACGTGTACTCGCAGCCTGGCTTCACAGTGAGCGGCATGCTGGAGCACGGAGGGCTCACCCCACCGCCAACCTCTGCCTCTGCACAGAGTCTACACCCCGTGCTCCGGGATCCCCCAGACCACAGCGACCTAGGTTCGCACCACTGCCAGGACCACTCAGACGAGGAGACACCAACCTCGGATGAGTTGGAACAGTTCGCCAAACAGTTCAAACAAAGAAGAATCAAGTTGGGCTTCACACAGGCCGACGTGGGGCTGGCGCTGGGCACACTGTACGGCAACGTGTTCTCACAGACCACTATCTGCAGGTTCGAGGCCTTGCAGCTGAGCTTCAAGAACATGTGCAAGCTGAAGCCGCTGCTGAACAAGTGGCTGGAGGAGGCTGATTCGTCAACAGGGAGCCCGACCAGCATTGACAAAATCGCCGCTCAGGGCCGTAAGCGCAAGAAGCGAACCTCCATCGAGGTGAGTGTCAAGGGCGTACTGGAAACGCATTTCCTCAAGTGTCCCAAGCCTGCCGCGCAGGAGATTTCCTCGCTGGCAGACAGCCTCCAGTTGGAGAAAGAAGTAGTGCGTGTCTGGTTCTGTAATCGAAGACAGAAAGAGAAAAGAATGACTCCACCAGGGGATCAGCAGCCACATGAGGTTTATTCGCACACCGTGAAAACAGACACGTCCTGCCACGATCTCTGACTGCAGGAAGCAAGAAAGCGGCCGGCCGCACTGGGAGCAGCGCGGAATTCTCTCTCTCCCACTCTCTTCCTTTCACTTCAGCTTTATTATTGCTATCCAGAGACATAGCAATATCTAGATATCTAGATAGGGCTCTTTTTTTTCTCTCCCTCTCCCCATCGTTTTTCTTTCTTTTTCTTTTTTTCAAAATAGGGGATTCTAACTTATATTAAGAAAGGAAACACACTCACACACGCATTCAGGCTTCTCAATGCTAATACACAGTTGCGTTAAGCAGTCCAGGCGGGGAACTCATATACCCTGCCGCCCGGGCAACTGTTTCCTCCAACCTTTTCTGCTGATCAATACATATTGTTTACTTTGAGTAAGGTCTGTTTGGTTGCTCCTCTCTTGGAAGAACAAGGAGAGGGGTAACATGGGGGTGGGGTAAGGATGGGGGAGGGGGTGGGAAGACAGATGTGTGCCTCTGAATAACCTTTCAGCGCCTTGGTTATAGCAGCTGTATTTCAGGTGAAATCTGTTTTACAATAGACTAGTTTTGCATTTTTTAAAACTTCTATAGCATTTCTAAATGTCTGCGGTGTTTTACTACAAGCTGTACACAATATTTGTGAGATAATTTGTATCTAATCGGCCACTCCACATTATTATTGCTATTATGATTATTCCTTCACTGAGCTGATGGTTTTCTAATTGCTTAAAAAGGGGAAGGGGGTGGGAGGAGGAGGGGAAGAGATGCCTACCCACCCACCCACCCACCCCCTATCCTAAATCTGTATGGAGAAGAGAGGTACAATGGATAGAGTTGTTAATGATGATAGTGGATATATATATATATATATAATTTTTTCAGAGGGCAGAGTGCCTAGGATAGGCGGAATAGGCAAGCCGATTGGGTTTGCAAAGTACCCTGAAGTAGGAGAGGCGATTTTGAAGCTTTCTGCCCTCCCTCCCGCATCTGTGGAGTCCTCTCAGGCTTCTACAGAGCAGATCCGGGTGCCTGAGAAGGATTTGCCGGCGGCGCCCGACAAAAGAGGTCGGCCTGAGGAGCTAAGAGGGCTCTGTACCTACGGAGGTCCGGAATGCCTGCACTCAGAGCTCCCCCCAGGTCCCGTGCCTCACCAGGACCGCCAGCGCGACCCCACCTCCGTCTTCCTAGGCGAAGGACATACCTTCACACAGGATTGCTTTCGCTGGGAACGACGACCCGGAGATGCTGGCGACAGACTCAGTGCCTCCCAGTTCCGTTCACCTCCAGTTCACCGCCCGCTCCCTGAGTGAGAAACCGTCGGGGAGGGGTGGCGAGTGGGGTGGGTAAACAGGTGCTCTCTGCTCCGTGCAGAACGACTATGAAATGATTGGCAAAGGTCACAAGGATTCTGGTCTAGCTTCGTTACCACCTCTTCTCCCATATATATATATATATATATATATCGCTATCTCTAAGTGGGCTCACGGGAAGCCGTCTCCATGCCTCTGACAAGCACAGCTGGTAGAAGCCCACAGCGATGATTAAGCTAGATAGCGAGCGCCCCGGCGGCTGGGTTTCTGGGTTTTTTGTTTTTGATTTTGATTTTTTAATCTCTGTATGTGTGTGTGTATGCGTGTGTGCGTGATTGCGAGTGCAAATGTGTGTGTGTAGATAGCTGTGTGCATCGTATTACTATTTACAACAACAAAACCTACATAAAATCTCGCTAGGCTGTGTAGAGATCCAAAAAAAAAAAAAAATGCAGTTGCTGTGGCTTTATTGCTCACTCTCATGTCTACACGCCAAGTCCACAGGAGCACCTCATTCTCAATGAGCACACATGTGCGGGGCGGGCCAAGCACCCAACAACACCCAGACACAGCCCGCCAGACCTGGCTGGGGGCTCAGCATGCCTGGGCTGGCTGCCTGGCCCGGCCTTCAGGTGCAGCTTCGGTAGACAAAGCTTCAAACTACCTAAGGACCAAAATGCCTAGGGCCCCTTGTGGAAGTTGAGCTAGTATGGGCAGCCAGGCCTCTGGTCCATCACACTGTGTCTCTCCCAGCTGCAGGTTGAAGGACATGTGTTAAATCAAATCCTGGACCCTTTTTTTGTTTTGTTTTGTTTTTTTGTCAAGACTCTGCATTCTGTTGCTAGTTGGATTTTTGTTCTGGAGATTTTTTGTTTGTTTTGTTTTTCCACACTGAGTTTGTGTTTTACAACTGTTGGGGGTTTTTTGTTTGATTTTTTTTTTCCTTTGCAGTTAGTGCTATGGTTCAAACCTGAGTTAACCCAAATATTTCTGCCGACTTTATAATTGTACAGTTTTGTATATTAAACGTTTTTGAAGTTATTAATTTAAAGAAAGATCATTTAGTTTATTCATTTAGTAACTGATGTATAATAAACACTATTTTCATTAAGAGTTGCTTTTTCAACTATTTTATTCAAATTGCCTATTGCAGTTGCCAGCAATTATTTATTTTCAATAAATTCTGCATTATGTTTAAAAGAAAACTCAAAGATGAGTTGGGTGTCAAAAATAAAACAATTTGCTGTAATGTTTGGTGTGAACAGTTTTAGTCAAGGGGTTTATATTGACGCAATATTTTATTGTTGTAAAAGATTTAAAATAAAACATTTAAATAAAACATTTTTCCAAAAAAATTCATTTTTTTTCTTTCTTCCTTTTTTAATTGTGTGGTGTGTGAAGTGAAGCATTTAAATAGAAGCACATTTCTGGTGAGCAGCGCATCTGCTCCACTTCAGGTTAGAAATCATTAGTCATTGTTTTGATTCTTGATTCTCTCCCTCTGACTTTTGGCCTTTCATAAACTCGCACACACAGCGGGGCCTGTTATCGTGCACATGCCCACGCTCACGCAAAACACACCCTAAATGGTGGGAAATAGTGTGGGGAACCCTGGCAGGATAGGGGTGTTATTTCAGGAGGTACAATATTATTAATGTTCTCTGAAAGAAGTGTGTCTGTCTCTAGTCCAGACAAACCCTTCTCTGAAACTGCCCCTCCTGAAACTGGACCCAGACCTTCGCTGAGGCTTTCACCTTGCTTCCCTGCAACCACTCCTCTTCTTCTGGTTCAGGACCAGTACCCTTCTGGTAGATGAGCACTCATTCCCCTGATGAAGGATGAAAAGATGACTAAATGTAAAAAGTGCTCTCCTTCTTAAGGCTCCCCCTGGGCCCAGAAACTCTGATAAACTGTTGTCCACTTAGTGTTGCCCACTAAAGCTGAATTCTGTTCATTCCTATATGACTTAGGTGGGAAGAAAAACCAATAGAGACATTTGGAGGAGTTTAATTTTTTATTCTTCCTCCCACTCTTGTTTGCCATTTCAACTCTGTTATTTTGTCACAAGACGCTCCATAAAATTAGGGACAGTTACCTGTAGTGATGGCTGAGGAGTAATTTACTAAATCAGAAGCAGTTATGTTTTAAGGCTTTGTATGTACACGCAAGACTTATCCAACTTTTTTGTTTTAGTAGACGCATATCAAGCAATAGACAAGACATTTAACTATAACTTTCCAACCGTAAAACCCTTCTCAATTCATATTCTGAAATGTTTTTTAGTAGACAAAGCAAAATCATTTAAACACTTTAATAGGTAAAAATTATCACATGTAATGTCCTGCATTTTTTTAGATTGCCTAATTATTTACAGCTGCACAGTGCACAATGCACATGTGTGTTGTGAATGAAATATGCTACATGTTCTTTGTATGCCTATAGGCATATCTCTCTTTTTAAATAATACTGATTTTATAGAGATGTGTCTACAATCACAAAACATATAGTCTTAAATCTGTTGGCTCTCTTTCTGTTCCTACCAACCAACATCTTTCGCTTTCAATATCCTATATGATTTTTGAATTGATTAAAAAGTTATAGATTTTCTCATTAAAGTACACAGAAACCAACTAGCAGTGTATTCTAAAGCATATATTTTAGGAGATACTTATATAAATTTATAGATATAGACATCTGTCACTATTCATCACATTTTTACTATGTATTACTGATACATATATTTTATACATGTTTACAAGACCTTTATCCTTTACTGGCTATTTTCTTTTTCTTAAAATATAACTAAGGCCTAGTTGGCTATTATGAGGACCTCTTTATCAACCTTGTTATATCATTAACATAACATTTTCGTTAAAATTCAGGGGATGTTGGTGCCTTTGCCTAGGACTTTTTTTGCATCGAGGTTGCTGTCATCCCATTCCCAACCAAAGCCTTTGTAGGAAAAGCAGCTTTGGCCTCAGTTTCTCTTAGGCCTTCATAGCAGTGGCTTTCTCTCCCATAATAAGAATTTGTGGGTTCAAAAATAATAATATATAATGGGTGAAGGTAAAAGTTTCATCCCCATTACCTGACCAGAGCAATAGAAAGTTAAGAGATTGTGAAGGGGGTGAGATTTTGGAAGGGGTGGGATGTGCAAGGAGTAAGTGTTTAGATGCTACAGATATTTTAACAAAGTCAAATATGTGAATCAACTATATGTTTGTATGCAGACATGATTGTCTATATGGCTGTGGCTCTCTGTATGTATAACAAAAGGTAAATAGATTACTAACCTCCAGCATGTATCTTCCCAACAATAAAAGAAGAGAAATATTATTCCTGGGAATTGGTTTCTTGACTTTAAAAAGAAAAGGGTAGGAGAAATTATTGTCTACATTAGTACACGAGCTGTGTTTGTCTTCAATAAAATCAAACACTGTTCCCTTGGAAATATTTAGTATTCAGATATTTCCCTTGCTCCCAAGTCAAGATGCTGTTGTTGCTTTAATTGCCTATAAGCTATAAGTAGAAACATAAATTTGTTTTTACTTAAAATATCTTTTTCAGTAAGGAGGGAAGAAAAGAAAGGGAAAGTGGATTAGTGAAAAATGATTAGAGGTTAAAACAGTTTTCCCAAAACAAGAATGTATTTTTTCTACCTGTCATATTCTTTTAAAGACACATATGGAACTTTAGGATTGTGAAATTATTTCTATGAATTGGCATTTAAAAATGGCCCTTTCAAAAAGTTTTCAAATCAGAAAA